CTATTTAACTATTGACTAACAAAAAGTTGACCCGTTTTCGAGGCTCGACGTCTTTAACTATATAATCTAAGTAAATAAGTTTACTAACGTAATCTTTTGGACGAAACAATAAAGAGTGTCTATCTAATTTTTAAATATTAATAATATCAAAGTTTATTATGAAAATATTTGTAAATATTCGCTTAAATACACCGTCTACCCTCAAATCTCGTTAAACGGGCAATGGAAAACCAATATACTGTTAGGTATATAATTTTGTATCTGTCAAAATGTCACGCATCTATAGAGTAATAAGGGAGCGAAACAGCGTGACTATGGGTATGTCGTACCTACATTCGTTGAGTTGACAGATTCTATTATCTCGCGATGATAGAATTTTTAATTAAGTTACGACACCATAAAATTGAATGAAAAGGGTATATGGGTAAAGTTGACCTCGATTTTGACTGATGAATTTTTGACTTGTTTGATTATTCATAGAAATAGAATATTTTAACATGTTCACTGCCGTGGCAATTTTCCAAAATCTGACCTAAAATGACGATTTGATTTAATTTGAGCCTTACAGTCTTCCAATACGCTCACCCAGGAGAGTACAAACCCGAAAGCATGAGTACAATAGCATATAAAAAAGGAATGTTACACATATGTATATAACAAGAATAATATAAAAAGACTTTATTATTAAAAACTCTAATTCTAGTGTGTAGTTAACATCAGAAAATAAAAAAAGCCGGTCAAGTGCGAGTCGCGTTTCTAAGGAAAAAGATCTTGACAAACGGACGTGTTGACGGATGGACTACGAAGTGATCCGAAGGATTACGTTTCTTCCTTTGGAGGTACGGAACCCTAAAAAACTAGTACTATTTGTTAGAATCAAAATCTAGTTAGGTTTTTTTATGGAAGATAATAGAATGGCAACCCCGCTTGCGCTAACGGTATACGCTGTCGGAGCACCAGTGAAGGATGATAGGTGAGGATGAAAAGGCAGAGGTTAATTAGCTCATCGTGATGAATACACCTGGAATTCTGCACACTGGTTTCCAAGAAGGACCACGTGGAGGTCGACCTAACAGAATATATTGCTAGTAATGGAACTGACAGTCCGCATTACTGACAATCCTTTCCTCGCCCCCCTCCCCTAAGTCTAGTTTTTTTTATGGGTGAAAATGGTATGGTAACCCCGCCTGCGCTAACGGGATACGCTGGCGGAGCACCAGTGAAGGGTGATCGATGAGAGTGAAAACAGGCCAGTTAGCCCATCATGATGAATTCATCAGGAATTAACCATGATAGTTTCCAGGGAGAACCGCGATGTGGTCGACCTGGTTGGGTATATTGTTAGCAATGGGATTCTCAGTTTCCATTACTAACAATCCCTTACCCCCCCCCCCCCCTCAATCTAGTTAGGTTAGAACTAGTCGCATACAATACTATAATAATACGACAATACGTTAGAGATCATCACTCTCCACTGCGTCCGTCTGTTTGCAGAGCACAATAATGGCGGCGGATGACTTGGCGAAAACTATCATGTAATATCATTATACGATCAACTGTAGCACGCGGCTTTGTCCGCGTAAATTGAAATACAAAAAGAAAGAAATATATTTAATTCTATATTGCGCACAGTAGAGATGTATACAAGGAGTATTTATACAGAATGTGCATATACAAAAGGCGGCCTTATCGCTTAAAGCGATCTCTTACAGACAACCTGCTTATATTTACATTAGTAAATTTATTCAAGTAAATGTTGCTATGTTCCCGGCATGGAATAGGCCACCTTTTCTTTCCCGTGGGGGTCGTAAGAGGCGACTAAAGGAACGCAATGATCGAAGGATGGACAGCAGCATCCCACTTAAAACATTTCCAAGGCCTAACTGCAGTTGACAACCCACCTGCTAAGCGTGGCAAATCCCCCCTTTAAATAGAGGGAAGCCTATGTCCAGCATTGGACAAGTAATGGCTAATATGGTATGGTATGGTATGGTATACTTAAATTTAAGAATTTTTGTATAGTCATTATTCTTTTTCATTACCGCCCATTTTTTTTAATGGGTGATAATGTAATGGTCTCCCCGCCTGCGCTATCGATATACGCTGGCGGGGCACCAGTGAGGAATGATAGGTGACAATGAAAGCAGGTCAGTTAGCTCGTTGTGACGAATTCTACTAGAATTAAACACGATGGTTTCCAGGGGGAACCGCGTGGAGGTCGACCTGACAGGGTGTGTTGCTAGCAATAGGTCAGTTAGACCCCATTACCAACAATCCCTTTCCCCCCATTACCGCATTAATTTCAGACAAGTAGAACGGGCAAGAAACTCAGCGGTTGCTATTTCAAAAGTTTTCTCTCTCTGTCTGCCTTCGGCCACTTCATTACTGAAGGTTGTGTCCTTGAAAGGTGTCTGTTGCCTCTTTTATGGTGTTATTACATTTCATACGGTCATCGGCTTCTCGCAGGGCAGATGCAATTGACAGTTCCGTAAGGGCGGTTACTTGGTCCGACCATCGATTAGGCGATCGTCCGCGTGGTCTTTTCCCCTCCATCATGCCTACAACCATTAGTTTGTCCAGATTGTCGGACTTTCGTCGAGCAATATGACCGAAGTATCCAAGAATCCTCCGATAGCAGACTGTCGAGAGCCTATCTTATATGCGGAGTTGCGTCAGGATAGATATATTTTTTTTAATACAACTTAGAATAGCAAACAAGCTGACGGCCCACCTGATGGAAAGTGGTAACCGTCGCCTATAGACATGAGCAGTGCCATGGACATAACAGAGTATACTGTTTCGCCCATGATACCCGCCATTCGTTGCCATTCCTGACGACTCAGGTGTTATTCCTCTGTACCTAGTAAATTTACGCCATGTCCCACCCTTCAAACCGAAACACAGCCATGCGAACACAACTGCTTCACGGTTGAAACACGAATATTCGTGCGCTTTGCTGTCCAGGGAATTCGCAGTATCCTTCGCCAGCACATCTCAAGAGCATCAATCTTTTTCATACAACTCTTCTTTTTAATACAACTCTATTCACCCGTCTATAATTGAGTGAGTTATAAACATAGAATTTTCTTCACATTATTTCACATATATTAAACTTCATATTAAACTATCTTTCACCCGTAATTCTACTGCGTGACCAGGACAAAAAACTATGTTCATCTCTATCTTAAATATATGTAGATATACCAAATAACATATATGTAGATTTTTTTTAATGGATGATAATGGAATGGTAACCCCACCCGCGCTATCGGTATACGCTAGCAGGGCACCAGTGAAGGATGATAGGTGAGGATGAGGTAGGTCAGTTAGCCCATCGTGACGAATTCAACAAGAATTGTTCACGATGGTTTCCAGGGGGAACCACGTGGAGGTCGACCTAATAAGGCATATTGTTAGCAATGGGGCTGTCAAACTCCATTGATAACAATCCCTTCCCCCCATATATGTAGATTAGTTCAGCCGTTAAGGCGCCGAGAGGTAACAAACAAACTGACTTTTATATTTATAGCATTAGTGAGGAATAATAAGATTAATATACGATCCAGGAGCTGAGTTGCGATAGACGATAATACGGATATGTTGTACGGGATATTTCCCGTACTGATGGCAGAAAAAAAATTATTAGAAATCCCTAAACTTGTGTTTTAATAGAATTTAATGACAATGTAAACATATAAATAACTGATCTGACCATAACTCAGTTTGTTGATGTTCAACTGTAGTAGAAATCAAAACTTTTACTTATGGGGACTAAATGCCCCATTGCTAGCAATCAGTCCTACTTGGTTGACCTTTACGGCGATTCCCCTGCAAACTTCACTTATTCATTATCACGTATTAAAAAAACAGGAGGGAGGAAGGAGTAAGTAAAGGAGTCCCTCTTGTTAGCAACATACCCTCGTGGTTTATTCTCACAATGAGTCCACTAATCTACTTTTTTATCCCTCTCAGGTCGACCTCCATGCGGTTCCCCCTGAAAACCACCATGGTTAATTCTCGAAAGTTTCATAAGTTTTTTTTATACAACTTTGAATGGCAAACAAGCTGACGGCCCACCTGATGGAAAGTGGTAACCGTCGCCTATAGACATGAGCAGTACCATGGACATAACAGAGTATACTGTTTCACCCATGATACCCCCATGCATTGCTATTCCTGAGGACTCAGGTGTTATTCCTCTGTACCCTGTAAATTCACGCCATATCCCACCCTTCAAACCGAAACACAGCCACGCAAACACAACTGCTTCACGATTGAAACACGAATGGAACAGAGGTACCCAAGCAATCGACTTTTGTACAAAGTCTCCCTCTGGTGTGTGTATTGATATAAAAAAATTGTAAGAATGTCAATTAATTCGTCATTATTGGCCAACTGCACTAACTTCATCCCGCCTATCATCCAACAAGCATAAACCAGAAGCACTGGCAAAATTACCATCCGATTCACTTTTTGAAACATTTAAGCATTATTTATTTATTTATTACATCCACTGGATGAGCCTTACAGTCTTCCAATACGCTCACTCAGGAAAGCATGAGTACAGTAACATATAAAAGAAATATTACATATATATAACAAGAATAATATAAAAAGACTTAAACAAAAACGTCTGAACACAAATACTCTGTGGTCACTCGACGAAACTCCAGCAAGTTGGAGGCAAATACATATTAATATAATAACATATTAATATTATATTTTATACACTCAAGATTAACAGCCCTAGATGGTCGCGAACCTAGTTGTGTATACTCCACAAAGGTACAGGTTTTTCAGTGTCGGCATCACGCACGTGACACCCTAGTGCTGCAGGCGTCCATAGGCTACAGTGACCGCTTACCACCAGACGAGAGGTTGTATGATGGTTTGACACCTTCGTTGTATAAAAAAAAATTTAAATGCTTTGTCTTCACTTTTTTAGTTCTGCTGACGTTACAAAGGGTGGGCATATACAGGAGATTTCAGGACAATACAACCACGTCAGTGTGGCGCCCAACACCGCGCGGGACGGACGCGCGTCACCCGTCGCATATATTTTCACGTACATATAAAACGGTTATTTGTGTTAATATTGTGTTACATTAAAATTTGGAGTTACATATAAAATGATTATGTGCTATTATTGTAGTGTTGTGCCGTAGTGTTGGTGTTTACGATAGGCCAGTATCATTATAAAAGTGTTTAATTAATGGTGAATACGTTTAATTAAATTCTAAGAGATAGTGTGACAGGCGCAAATTTAATATATATTTAGTAATTAATTTTAATTAATTGCTATTTACAAAGAAATTAAAACAATTTTAAAAGAGAAAGCGAACAAATTATAAAAATAATACAATTTCTGATAATCAAATTAGCCGTTTCAAAATTATATTTATTATTTAATTGATTATTTTAATTCTTTTAATATATTTTCATAATAGTGGATCAATAATTTATTACTTTTTATTGTTGTTCAAATATCAAACGAAAGTACTGAAAGATTTTTTTTTATATTTCTTTAAATATTAATTGAATCCAATTCAAAATATAATTTATTGTCTTAATTTCTTTTATTTGTCAAAATATAACCCGACGTTTTTGTAATAGCTTATTAATATTTGATTACTTAAATTATTAATTTAATAATTTAAAAAATATATGAAATAATATTTTTTAGTAATTCAATTTATAAAACGATTGACTTCAGTAACGTAGTTGTTAAGCACGGCGCACGGATGCGGTTCTAGGTTCGACTACGATTTTTTTCAATATTGTTGTTTATTAGTTTATTATATAGCAATTATCAATTTTTAAATTCCAAATTCAGCGGCATACTGACATGGAATTGTGCGTTTACAGGCACAAAGTTTTGCTCCACAAAGAAAAACGTTAATTGTCATATAAGATATATATATATATATATATATATATATATATATATATATATATATATATATATATATATATATATATCTTACAATTGTTAGAATTTACTCCCGTGTTGGGAGTTAATTCTAACAATTGTAAAAATCATTTATTGTAATTGATACCACTTCCCATCAAAGGAATTGTCAACTTCTTTGCCATCCTGAGTTGCATTTTTTTATGTTGCTTTATACTAGTTGCATTCCGTGACTTCACCCACCTGAATCATTATATAAACTACCTATAATCTATCTCTGTGGCAAAATTCAAAGTCGTTGAGTAGTTTTTGCGTGAAAAAGTAGCAAACTATCATTCAAACAACTTTTAAATCAATTCAATAGATCAGCCAACTAATTTAGGAAATAGATATACAGCAGTAGAAGTTTCTATTTGTAAATTTTTTTTTAATGGATGATAATGGAATGGTAACCCCACCCGCGCTATCAGTATACACCGGCTGGGCACCAGTGAAGGATGATGGGTGAAGATGAAGTAGCTCAGTTAGCCCATCGTGACGAATTCAACAAGAATTGTTCATGATGGTTTCCAGGGGGAACCACGTGGAGGTCGACCTAATAAGGCATATTGCTAGCAATGGGGCTGTCAAACTCCATTACTAACAATCCCTTTCCCCCCTATCTATCAATTTGTAGACATATATGTTCGTCCAATGGTTGACTGGTAGAGACACCGTGCGGTGTTAAGTCCGCCAAATGTAGATAGAGTTTTACTGTGCATTAAAGTTTAAATAAAATAAAGTAGATATATTTATTTATTTATTATTACCTGCAGTTTACATATGATTAATTTCCAACACACTACAGGTAATTATAATTTTTGTACATGTCAAATTATTTACAATATTTATTATTAATAATTAATTATAAAAGGTAAAAATTATATTTAAATTTATATAAAATGTAAATTCAGATCATTAAATCTTTTAATTTACTTTTATATATCACTCTTGCGCCACCTACCCACTTCTATGAACAAAATGGATTGTTAACAATGGAGACTAAAGGTCCCATTGCTAGCAATATACCCAACCATGCCGACCTCTACGTTGTCCCCCTGGAATCCAAGTGTGGGATATGGTAATGATAACATTAAGTACAGAAACATAACATCATAGTGCTCAGGAATGGTAACACACGACGGGTCCTTCACTGCTCCGCCAGCGTATCCCGTTAGCGCAGGCGGGGTTACCATACCATTTTCACCCATAAAAAAAAATACACATGAGGGGTGCCATGGGCGACATAGTATGCCTATGTTGTTCATGACGCAGTTCATATCTATAGGCGACCACTTTCCATCACGTGAACCATCAGATTGTTTACCATTCCAAATATTATGAAAAATAATACAGCAATATATTGTAGGAAACCAGAAATAGGTTTATTGTGATACGGTTCCAGGAATGCTACGTGATTTTACTTTTGTCTTTTATCGTCCGTCCAATCGCCCCTCGCGGATTACATTATCCACTATTATACCTCCACTCAATGTCCCCAACTATCTCCAACTTTCCTCCCCTTATCTCAATCTAACTGTTGCCCGCAGCTTTGTCTGTTGAAGTTGCATTAAACCAGTACATTATTATGGTTTAACTGTAATATCAAGGGTGTCTTTGCAGCATAGAGGATAGCTTTGTATAGGCGTTCGTTTTTTTATTTGTTTTCATTGTACTTGACTAACATGGAGAATACCACGTCTCCACTAATATATTATTTACTAGCGATCCATCGCACATATTCGTTCACCGATCACATTAGAAACCACTAAAATTATCAGTGTTTCTCTACTGTATTATGCATGTATTATACATATAAACCTTCCTCTTGAATCATTCTATCTGTAAAAAAAAACCGCTTCAAAATCCGTTGCGTAGTTTTAAAGATTTAAGCATACATAGGGATAGACAGCTACAGCGACTTTGTCTTATATTATCATGGTTATCATAGTATCATAGGCTAAACAGTATACTCTGTTATGTCCATGGTACTGCTCATGTATATAGGCGACGGTTACCACTTTCCATCAGGTGGACCGTCAGCTTGTTTGCCATTCTAAGTTGTATAAAAAAAGATTCATACTCCTCCGTCCGCGCAATTTTCGTAAAAAAAGGGATAAAAAGTGTTTGCTTCACGTTTTAACATATATAGATAATAACAAAACTTAGGGTACGAACCTTTACTAATATTATAAATTGAAAGTGTAGTTTGTTACCCATTAATGCCTTTACGGTTCAATTAATCGCCATGAAATTTAACATAAATGTACCATTTGGGATGAAGAAGGAGAATGGGATTACTCTTTAATCCCGGACCCACGTTCAGGGAGCCCGCTTCCGTTGAAGAGCAGCGCGTCGTACGAAATTTAACATAAATGTACCATTTGGGATGAAGAAGGAGAATGGGATTACTCTTTAATCCCGGACAATCAACTTAATCCCGGTCACACGAATAAAGTGATGAATTGAAGTTAGTAATAAATGTATGTACGTATGTATGTATAAAATAAAATATACGAGTATGTGTATAAAGTTTTATTTAACTGTTTTATATTGTAATATTTTATGTATTTATTGTATGTATATATTTATTTATTTAATATATTATGTGTATGTTTATGTTATATGATTTTTAAAATATTGCTTTATTTTGAGGGAGACTTTGTACAAAAGTCGATTGCTTGGCTACCTCTGTCCCATTCGTGTTTCTACCGTGAAGCAATTGTGTTTGCATGGCTGTGTTTCGGTTTGAAGGGTACGATATGGCGTGAATTTACTGGGTACAGAGGAATAACACCTGAGTCTTCAGAACAAACTGACGGCCCACCTGATGAAAAGTGGTAACCGTCGCCTATAGACATGAGCAGTACCATGGACATAACAGAGTATACTGTTTCGCCCATGATACCCCCCATGCGTTGCCATTCCTGAGGACGCAGGTGTTATTCCTCTGTACCCAGTAAATTCACGCTATATCCCACCCTTCAAACCGAAACACAGCCATGCAAACACAACTGCTTTAATTGTGTACTTCTAATCTTAATAGACTTGCTTCACTCAATACTTCGATATTTAATTATAAAACGCGATGGTACGCTCCTTCTGATAAAGCCTACATATTATAATCCGACATTTATGTGTATAATGTAAACCGCATCATTGTCAGAGGATTTCCATCAGAACAAATATAGATAAATACGAGTTGAGACATTGCGTATTGTTTATTTTACGTGATAGAAACGAATTGGGAAATAAATATATTTTCTTTATTTGTTCCTTTATTACTTCCTTTCCCCTTTTTTTATCTTTCTTTCAATAATTCTTGTTTAATTTATTTATAATCATTTCGTATGTAAATCAATTTTAATAAACGATTCAAGAAATGGTTAATACTTATTCTTTACATTTTTTTTCCTTTCAACAATTCTTCCCTTTTATTTATTTATAATAACTTTATAAGTAAATTTTAGTAGTTGATTAAAAAAGAATGGAACTTAATACAGCTTATTAGCATTACTTCATTAATCATTAAATTTATTACCATTTTTTTTTCGATATTCTTTTTTATTCTCAAAAATATCACAAATCTACAAACAAACAATAATAATTAACCGAATCCCTGTCTCTAGATATTCATTAATTATATTATATTTACCAGAGGGACACCTTGTACAAAAGTCGATTGCTTCTCTGTCTCTCTATGCCTCTTAGGTACTCAGGGTACAGAGGAATAACACCTGAGTCCTCAGGAATGGCAACGCATGGGGGGTATCATGGGCGAAACAGTATACTCTGTTATGTCCAAGGTACTGCTCATGTCTATAGACGACGGTTACCACTTTCCATCACGGAGGCCGTCAGCTTGATTGCCATTCTAAGTTGTATAAAAAAAACACTGAACTAAAACTGGTCTTAACTGGAGCTAAGTTATATTTATTGATCAGGAAACCTCTCTGCGCCAAAACGATTCGAAAAATATCACCTGCAATGCCGTTCTTGGCAATCTACAGTTTAAACTTTTCGTACTATATTTCATGTAAGCAATCCGATTCGAAATTTATCTAGGGTCCAATAAAGAGTTCTGCTGGCTCAGAACAACAAATGGCTATGCAAAGTGGATGCAATCGTAGTATTTATATTCCAAAGATTTCAAGAAGAAGATTGAACTCTATTTTTTGTTATGCGATATCTTCTTTAATTCTGCAACGATCTGATTATTCCTTTTACTAATTGTCTTTGATTTTTGTAACATGTAAAATTGGGTTTGA